GGCAATGGTTCATCCTTACCTTACCCTAATGATCCAGTATTCCCCCACAAACTGTTTTCAACCACACCATCACATTATATGTATCGATCCCACCACTCACTGCCCGCGGTCCCCTCCTGTGACCTGACCATGGTCTGTATCATTCTGCTTGTCCCTTGGGAACTCTCAGCTTCCTTGTTCATCTCCTGTCCCAACATGACGATTTGACAAGTCCCCTCCGAATATGGGCTTACCGATCCACTATTTTCATGTCTGTACCTAGCAGCTAAACATAGCTGGAGGAATTCACTAGGCAGACTTGTTTTATTTTCAAATTCATAATCTCAGAGTTTCCAACAAGCTGTCAACACTGGCAGAGTCCTTCCATATTTCTATAGTATGCTTGTTTCCCCATTTTCTGAAATAAAGCTACACTATTTTCTTTATTCAAATCTTCGACCTCATACCCGGCCATTCTCAGTTGATGGCTTTGCCTCTCAGAGTCACTTGAGAAATTGTAAATTCTTTCCCCTCATCACAAAGGTCTCTCCTTGTGTTGCATCTGCCACCAGCCACCCATTCTCTCCTTGCTCTTATTAAACTGAGAACATGCCTCTCCTCTTACCAAAGACCAGTCACCAATGTATACTCTTGATCTTTCACCACCTTGCCTCCTCAATGACCGTACTCTCTCCCTAGTCTTCAGTGTCTCCAGTGGATACTTCTTTCAGCCTCAGAACAGCAACATAGCCTCACTTTACCTCCATAGACAGACCTTCACCTCACACCATGTCCTCTGCACAACTAAGAGCCCTGTTTCCCCTTCACAAGCTAACTTCTCAGAACAGTGTCCGCACAATCACGCTCAGTTAGTAAGTACCATTCTCCCATCCACTCCTCCCAGACTAGCTTCTTCTCTTAGACTCAACCTCAGGTGTTTTTGCTCTTGTTACCGACAGCTTTCAATACTTGCCGTTCTGTCCCTCTACATTTCCCAGTTCTCTGACATTATACCCTACCCTACTTTTTTGGCCTCTCCTGTCTCTTTGCCCACAACCTCCTCCTCTACCCAATGGGTAAACATTGATTTTCCCCAGCACTTGCTCTCATGCTCAGTCCTTATATTTCTCAAGAATGCTTCCTAAGGTGAGTGCTTCTCTTTGTATGAAACGAATTAAAATTCTATTTTACCAGCATCTGAATTCTGCAAACTCTGCTATAGGTCTCTTCAAAGAAGAGGACGCTTATATTTGACTGCCACCTTGAGCATCTCAAAGTTAACGTGACAACTCCTAATACTTCATCTATTTGCTTCTATTCATCTCCATAAGTGGCTTCATCAACTACCCAGTTGTTCAAACTAAAATCTAGTTTAGGGCATTATCTTTGATATTGCTTCTTCAATTCATTTCTCATGTTTAATCTTTCAGCCATTCTTGCAGTTTCAACAACCAAAATGATCTTAAATCCTTCCATTTTTCTACACTCTGCCAACACCTTCGTCTGACTCACTATGAGCTATTATCTGGATATTTGCTAGAGTTTTCTTACTGGCTTTCTTGTTTCCAATCATGTAAGACCATGGTGCTTCTCTTCCCTCACACCCTTCTCCCTCTCCCATCCCCCCACACACACACATTACTTAAACCCCTTTAAAGCTTTCTTATTGCATTTTCAATGAATTATAAACTTGTTTCCTCAACTTCTAAATCCCTGGGTGACCTGGCCCATGATCTGCCTTCCCAACCTCTCATTCCATCACTCTCTTGCCCATTATTACCCTCCTGCCCTTGTATCCCTTGAATTCCTTACACACCAAGCTCCTCGCTGCCTCAGGACCCTCACCTATGCGTCCCTATTTCCCTGCTCCTTACATGGATGACTGCTCATGTTCCAGGTCTTCCCTCAACTATAACCTTCTCAGAGAGACCTGCCATCACCAACCTATCTAGGGAGGTCTCCTTCACAGTGTCTCTTATCCTTCCTCATAGTCACTAACCTTTTTAGTTCTATTTTTTTGCATATGTAATTTTATTTTTCCTCCTGAATAGGCTGTGCACTCTAGGAGACAGATCTCAGCCCTGCATTGTGTGTTAACTTATACCCAGAACAGAGCGAAATGCTGTGGGCTGTTCATAGTACTGCACCTTACGATGCGTGCTCCTTCCTGCCTCCGCCCTTCAGTTGACCCCTCCTGCCTCCGCCGATGCTCCCTCTGTCAGTAAGGAAACCAGGCACAACACTGAAGCTTAGAGAATGAGTTATTGGATGAATGGGAAATAGCCCATACATTTCAAGCTCCTATTTTCTCTGATTTTCTGAGCTTGCGATTACTCATTTGTAATTAGGGGAGCGTGGCAAGCTTGATTTTGATAATATCCTCCTTCCTTTTCCATGCATCTTTTATCCTAGTCCTTAATCTGGACTTCCAACCCAGGGACATATTCTTTGTATATTTGCTATCAGCATTGCTGAGCAGCTTTTTATTTCTAGGACTGGTGATGTCCTTCCATGCGGCTGTACCTACATCCACCCCAAGACTCCAAGTGACACCTCCAACTCTGCTCATGCCACTGAGGAACAGGGGATGAAAACAGATTCATCCCCATGAGAACCGCGGGATTTGGCACAGGTGGAGAGCGCATGCTCACTAGTGACAGTAGCTCTGGTGCCAAAGCAGAAACGGATTCTGCAGCCATCATCATCCAAAGAGTGTTAGCTGGGTGTCAAAGCAATAGGTCTTCCACTCTCCCCCTCAGAGTTTTAGAGCAGAGTTTGTCAAACTTAGATTTCAGGGAAATAAGCAGGTTTCATATTCTGCTGAAATCATTTTTTAAAGTTTGTTTTGTTTCCAATTTTGTTGAGTATGGAAAAAGTAGCAATATAAGCATATTCTAGATCTTCTGGATGATCACCTTCTGATTACTGCCACATGATTTCAATAAGCACCAACTATTTTTGTTTTAAAATACATTAGCCTGATTACATTATAAAATACTGCTCATAGGTAGGATGCCTGGTGGGGCTTAATAAAGGGCAATGTGACCGAGAGGAATTACTGAAACCCAAATGAAGGCTGAACATGATAGTGGGACAAGAGGAAAGTAAAAGGAATTAGAGGAAAGAACTAGGAGGCAAAGGGCATTTATAGAGGTCTAAACACAGGCATGTACACATATAAATATAATTATATATAATGATAGGGAAATAGATCTATGTACATATATTTATAGGTTTAGTATTAAGGTAGCATATGGACATTGGGCCTTCACTCAAGTACTCCCTCAATGCAAGAACACTTTGTTCTAATAATCTGGCATTCTGTGATTCTGACACAATCACTGAAGACAAAGTGGATGCATAAGCAAATGTGGTAAAGAAAACTGATGGTGCCCGTCTATCAAAATATATAGCATCTGGGGTCTTAAAGGCTTCAAGATAAACAAGTGACCATCTAGCTAAGAAGCAACAAACCTACATGCAAGAAGTACACCAGCCTGTGTGATCATGTGGTGTTGATGGGATCAGATATTAGGCATCAAAGATCCAGAATAAACAATCATATCAATGCGAAAGTGGGGGGCAGGGGGCGAGGTGGAGTGGAGACCCAAAGCTCATCTGTAGACAATTGGACATCTCCTTACAGAAGTGTCACAAGGAAGAGACGAGCCAGTCAGGGTGCAGTGTAGCACTGATGAAACATACAACTTTCCTTTAGTTCTTTAATGCTTTCTCTCCCCCACTATCATGACGTCAATTCTACCTTACAAATCCGGCAAGACCATAGCATGTACATGGGTACATATAAGAGCTCAAAACACAGGGAACCCAGGAAAGATAAACCCCTCGGGACCGATCATGAGAGTAGTGATACCATGATGGTAATGGAAAATGGGGGGGTGGGGGTGGGTGTAGGAAAACAAGCACAATGATCTATGTATAACCCCTTCCCAGGGGGATGGACAACAGAAAAGTGGGTGAAGGAAGACAGCAGTTGGTGTAAGACATGAAAAAAAAGTGTTATAAATTATCAAGCGTTCATGAGGGAGGAAGGGTGAAGGAGGGGCAAAATGAGGAGCTGATATCAAGGGCTCAAGTAGAAAGAAAATGCTTTGAAAATGATGATAGCAACATATGCACAAATGTGTTTGACACAATGGATGTATGGATGGTGATAAGAGCTGTAAGAGCACCCAGTAAAATGATTTATTGGGGGAAAAAAAGAAAAGGAAAAAACACTGCACATAGGTTTTGTCAATTGTTTGGAAAGAGACAAGTGATGGAAACTGAAGTCTCCCCGTGACACATGGGAAATTGTGCAGGCTCCAGAGCAGTGTGGAGAGAACTCGTGGTGCCAGATAATGTTTTGTGCATATCTCCTCTTTGACTGCTATGACTATCAAAAATTGGTGATATCTGTACATATGCAAGCATCATTATAACAAATGATAATGCCAGGTTTGCTAAGGAGTTTTAGCCCTTAAAGTGATCAGTGCATTACTTAAGTATGCAAAGCTGTATCATGAAGATTTTAGAGAAAGTTGCTCTTTCTGATTTCCTTTCAGCTTTACTCTTTGTTTTGCTTTTAATGAACAACCTCACCCATTTCTCCAACCCAGACAAGGACTCCCTGGGGTTAGAGCAAAAGACAAAGCTGAATTCCTGGCATCACAGAGTGCTCAGCGTCACCCCCCCTTCTCCTTCCCCCGCCACCAAACAACGGGACTGATGTATTAGACCACGCTTGACTCTCCCTGAGGAGGAACCCTCTTCCAGAAATCTCTCTATGTAAACAAACTCCCGGCCCCCGCGCCTCCAGTTTTCATGTGCAACCGTCCTTTTATCACAATTCAGGCTCAAACGGAGATCTCCACTGTCCTGATCTGCAGAATGAATGAACAAAAACTAAGGAACAAGCCACCAGTTGAGAAAACTCCACACACAAGAAAATGCATTCAACTTTTAGAGAGAAAAAATTCTTTTTAAGTATTTTCCCTTTTATTTTTATTTTCTCTTTCCAGGTGGTAGAAGACAGGTTTAAGTCTGAAAAGGAAAAAGGCAAAGGAAAATCCCCCAAGGAGAAGAAGACCCCCAATGCCAAGGGAGCCAAAGGAGGAGGAGGGGGAGGAGGAGGAAAGGGAAAGGATCAGCCCGAGGCAAGTACAACCGTGAAAAAGACCACAGAGCTAAGGCGAAGGGGAGAAGAAGATGACACCAAGCGCTACATTGGTCAGTGAGACTCTTCTTGTGGTGCTTACCTTGTATTTCTTGCTTTACGACCTAAGTAGTAACCCGAGAAACCGTTCCAATAACTGTGTTTAATCTTTCCCAGCCTTTTCCCTCTCTATAAATCCATAAATCTCTTACTGCACATGACACCCTAATAGAAAAATATTTCTACCAGCAATTCATTCATGCTTTCAGCAAATAGTTATTTTAGCATGTGCCTTGCTAGACACTTCCCTATTGTCCAAGTAAGGGGTGAAAGAGCAAGTCTATCGTGCCCCAAGCATGTAGTATTTTGTTAGGGCCATAAAGAGTATGAATGTGTAATTGCAAAGCAAAGTGATAATTGTCCTGAAAGAAATACAGAGTCAGTGTAATAAAGTCCGGCCAACTCATTTGTGATTCATGCAGCACAAATAGCTTCCTGAATCCGTATTCTGCCACCATCAATTTGTCCTACAGAGAGCAACTAGATGTTTTTCTTTTTAGATTATTGGGATAAAAATGATTCGCCCTATGTTGCTGTTGTTGTTAGCTGCCAGCAAGTTGGTTCTGACCCAGAGCGACCCCATGCACAACAGAACAAAAGTGCTGCCCAATCCTGTGCCATCCTCACAATAGTTCCTGTGCTTGAGCCCCTTGCTGCCGCCACGGTGTCAATCCGTCTCATAGAGGGCCTTCCTCTGTTTGGCTGCCCCTCTACTTTACCAAGCATGATACTCTTCTCCAGGGACTAATCTCTCTTTACAACATATACAAAGTATGTGAGGCAAAGTCTCGCCATCCTTGCCTCTCAGGAGTACTCTGACCTTACTTCTTCCAGCACAGATTGGTTTTTCCTTTTAGCAGTCCAGAGTACTTTCACAATTCTTCTCCAGTGCCAAAATTCAAATAATCCAATTCTTCTATGGTCTTCTTTATTCAGTGTCCAACTTTCACATGCATATGATACAATGGAGATGTCCATGGCTTGGGTCAGGTTCACCTTAGTCCTTGCTTTTCAACACCCTAAAGAAGGTTTTGTGCAGCAGATCGACCCAGTGCAACACATATTTTGATCTCTAGATTGCTGCTTCTATGAGCATTGGTTATGAATCCCATTAAGACAAAATCCATGACAACTTCAATCTCTTCTCCATTTATCACGATGTTATCCAGTAGTCCAGTTGTGAGGATTATGGTCTTTCTACATTGAGTTGTAATCTAGGTAGCTGTAAGTATTCCATTGCATGCCTCCCTTGACCTCAGATGGAGTTACCTGATACTACTTGCATTGTATTTACATCATATGGGGGGTGAGTCTCATCCCTTACCAATTTAATTATTTCACATATCTCTGCCCACTGGACTTATGCACAATGACATTCTAGATGCCATGGGTCATACCAGCCCTGATTTCTTTAGTAATAGAGGACAAAGCACTAAAACTGTGTGCCTTGTTGCACGATTTATAAATTGATATTAACAGGTGATTGTGAAATGCGATGTTCTTGCGTGCTATCAGTGTTGAGGTATAACTACAAGTAGCCTTATTCTTATCTCCCAAACTCCACATTTTAAGTTAAACTCATGTTTTAATATTCATAAAACAAAGTAACCAGGGGAAAACAGGATTAATTTTTTTTAGGAAAGTCCACAGTGTACATTTTTTGAAGGTAATGCAAAAAAAGCTAGGTTATATAATCTCTACTCAGCACCCCCATCTATTGACATAAATGCACACCATCATCCTTCTGTAGGGAATGTGTTCATTTTCTATATTTCCCCTCCTGTAAACACCTCTACTTATAAAATACCACAAAGCTTCAGGTACTTGTAATTTGGGAATAAATCCAGATGTTGCTCAAAAAAGATTAGGGAAAAAACCCCAACAACCTTGCAGCCTAAACTCTGACAGACCCAAGCACACATTCTCCATGACTACAGGCCCGGTGTATGTTTGTCCTCCTATTACGCCTACATTTCACTTGCAGAACTGATTTAATATGTTGTACAATAGCCACAGCCTTCATACTGGAAAGGCAGTAATGAAAAGCAGTCAGCATGACTACATTCCAGCCAACTGGACGGCTTTGGGCAAGCCAGAGGGCTTATACCTGCATGCATAATGCATGTAGCTATTGAACTGGCTGAGTGCAACCTGGTCTCCTTTTAAATGATGGCTGCTCTTCTTTATGGTGTATTTTGAACAGACGATGAGCCAGACGATGGTGCCCAGCATTACATTATAGTTGTGGGCTTCAACAATCCCCAACTATTAGCGATTATGACTGAGCTTGGCGTTCCCATAAGCAGCGTGATTAAAGTATCTTCAGAGAATTATGAACCTCTGCAAGCACACCTGGCAGCAGTTAGCCAACAGCAGGAAGCTTTTCTTCAGCCAGAAGGTATGCAATCTGCTACATAACTTACTGTTCTAAAGCTGAATCCTTTAATATCACCACTGTCCTTGAACTACAAATACTGTTTTCTGTCCCAAACAGAGTTGTGCAATCCATACATTATTAAATCCTTTCAAGACTTTGATTCACTATTTATTCTACATGTACTAGCCAAGTGTTGTAAATTTTGCAAACTAAAATCATACACTGTGCTACATATCCCTGTGTAGCCACAGAGAACATACCCTTTGAGTCAGAAGGCTTGGTTATCAACCGCCTTTCTCAGAAACATCCCATCCCTAACGTTTACCTAGAGCATGGGGTGAAAGCATCAACTGTATTTCATCTGTTCTTTCAGAAGCTACAGGAACCAAACGGCCCCAGGTCCAGAATCCAAGGCTCTGGGGTCAGAGCCTTGGATTCTTGACCTGTTCTGAGGCAGGCTGATCTGAGAGAAGAATTTCTCTTCCTGGTCTTAAACTAGGAAGTCGTGGGGTTACGTTCTGACCTTCCTGTCATTCAGCCCGATTGGGACTTGGGGCCTCTATTTGAGGGAATTGTGCTACACTGTCTTTGTGAGCAGGAAAGACATTGTGGTGATGTACTTCAGGTGGTAGAATTGGAAGTCAGTGTAGACCTGTTCAAACTTGAAGTCCAAACTTTGTCTGCTATGTGCTGCCATTTTTCTTGTTACTTATTAATTATGTCATCTACATGGTGCTATGTGATCTACACAGCCATATCCAAATTTCTATAGCAATGCATTTTTTAAATTGCTGTGCAAAGTTAGCAGCTGCAATTCCTGATACTAATAACAGGTGTCATTTATTGGACACATGCCTTAGAACTAGGCTCAATCCTAAGGACTTTAAGTACATTGATCTGTGTAATTTCCACAACACTTGGAAGTATGCTTTATTATTTCCTTTCACCAAAAAAGGACTCTCAACCTTGGGGCAGTGATTATGTAAAAGGTTTTGGATTCAAACCCAGTCTATTCCCAACTACCTCAAAGGAGAGTTAAAATGTAAAATAATTGATTATTGAAGCCAGGGAGAATATGCCGCATACGCTCTAAACATAGACATTCCAAAAAAATATTTAATACAGAGAAACAAAAAAATGTATTTTAAAAAAATGACTACAGAAGAATAATGAGATCTTGGGATGTAATGACCATAAATACTTCAGGAAAATTTTCTCATGGAATTTTATAGAAATCTGTTATCATTTTACAGTCATAGCCAAATGCCTGGAGAAACCTGTCATTATTTTAATGTTACCAGAAGTTAACTGAGACAAAAATGGTTGATTTAGTCTGTTCTGAGTCATTTGAGAAGGAGACTTGGAGAAACTGAACTTCTGACCAGTCATACAAAAAATGGACACTGAGGTGCCCAAAAGTGACAAGACAGCCGAGCTGATTGAGTGTCATGTCGATACAACTTAAGGATGGTGAATGGTGAATACCTCTAGGTCTCAAATCAGGTGATCTTGTCATTTTGGGGGGCCTCAAATATAAAATTAAGGGATTAAGAAAGCTCATATTTAAAATCCATTTCAGAAATAAAACTCTCCAATTGTATAATTAATAAACAGTCCCATTCCAAAAGTGTCCCCAAATCACATCTCTTTATTTGCATTTTGGGGCATTGTACGGACATCTTGCAATGCATACGACTTGCTACATGTACATAAAACAGAAATATCGAAATTCACACTCTCATTTTGTAGTATAAATGTGTTGCTATCATTAGATGTAGAAGCTGAAAAACAGAAGAAAGAGAAAGCCGTCAAAGAACTGGAAAGCTTTTGGAAGTACTTGGATCCAATCCTGAATAATGATAAACCTGAAACAAATCTCTTTGATGTGGCTCGGCTTGAATACATGGTCAACGAAGGGCACTTTCCTTCCGACTGGGCAGACAACGAGATGATGGTTAGTACACACGTTACTGAGGGAGGATGGGATACCTGGGTTCTACTTACCACATTCACTCAATCCACAGATACTTTTGATTACAAACTATGGACAAAGGATCCTTGGTGACGCGGTGGTTAAGTGCTCATCAAGTTGAACCTGCCAGCTGCTCTATGGGAGGAAGGTGTGGCAGGCTGCTCTGTGGATGTTACAGCTTTGGAAACCTTATGTAGCAGTTCTAATCTATCCTATAAGGCTAGTCTTAGTGAGAATTCACTCAATGGTTATGGGTTTGGTTATTTGTTGTTTGGTTTCTTTGTTTTTCTTATTATGGACACCTACTATTATTTTTTATCTTCATGGGAGGCTATTCTATCTTCAGAACAAAGATAGCATTGGATGCCCAGTGATGATTAGAGCCTGTTTCTTTTGCTGTTACAGTACAAACGAATGACAAATGACAAGATGAAGATGAACATTGAGTAGTATGCTCTTTCAACATCAAATCTAAGAAGTTTAGGATCCATTGAGCTTATGCTAATGGTAGAGGAATCATTTGGAAAAGGAGGATAGAATGGTTGTACAACTTGAAAAATGAAATTAGTGTCACTGGCCCGTATATGTAAAAATTGTTGAATCGGTGTATGTTTTTCTGTGCACGTTTCAAGGACAACAAGAATAAATACATTATTAATGAAAGATAGAGGTGATGATGCAGAATGATGCAGAATTCTGTTATTAATAGAATGGTAATTCTATTATTAATAGCATATGACTTTGTGTCACATCTGCACAATGTTCTAGTAGTGTTTAGGTATTAAAGCATAACATGTTAATGGTGAAAATAATGAACTGTACATATCTGCCTATATATATCAGTTAATAGCATTTTCTAGGCCTCTGTTTTTATTGTCAGAATCATCCTTTTTTCTGTATTTAGGCAACAAGACATAGCCTAATAAAATGACTTGACCTCAGCTCATCAATCAGCAGGCTTTTCCAGAGAGCATGTACTGGTCCCTGCTATTGAAGAGCTTGTAGAATGACAAGACTGAAACCATGAATCAGAACAGCAACACTCCAGGTGGAATACCACTAAGTGCTCAGTTATATAAAGCTATATTTAATTTTCATATTAATTCAGAGAAAGAAGAAATCGGAAACTTTAAAAAATGGCAAATGTCTGATACATGGAGCTCTTTGGGGGGAAAAATTAACAAGGTCAAGTGACAACTTAGCACAGATGTTGCAGACGGTACTCTGTGACAGAAAACCTCTCAGAGCTCCTTCTGATTGATACCCTTGTCTAAAAGAACGGAAGGTCAGGGTGTTGGATTTCCCACGGGGGGCAGGTATGCAGCCCAAAGGAGCTAAACTGAAGGCAAGCCTTGGCGGAAGACCACATCAGCCCTACTAGCGAGTTTACTGGAGGACATGGGGCGGTGGCTCGACCCAGCGACTGTGAGTGCTGATTTTTTTTTTTAAGTTGATGGTCCAAGAAGAGGGTGAGATCAGAGTTTGGATCAATTTTGGAGCCAAAGGTAGAGTTTCCATGGTCACAGCTGGGGCATGGCCACAACTGACTTTGAGAGACCCTGACTCTGACCTCGAGATGGGTATGGACTGGATGAGTAGGGGAAACATTGAGAACGGAGGTCCAAATCTGAACCTTAAGGAATGAACAGGATTTGATTAAGAAGCAATGATCAATGGATAGGTTCGGTTGCATTATTAAGACTTCCAACATAGGCATTCAATGTCAGTGTATACAAGCAGAACACTTAAGTCGGATATCTTGTCAATAGCAAGAATCAATATTAGCTTAGTGCTATTTGTGGGGAGCTGAGCATAGGAAACCTGGGGCTGAAGATAGAGCTGGTTCTGAGCAAATGCCGTTAGCCCAATTCTCCCTTTGCTTTGCTTCTTCGGAGTCCATCTGCCTGTGTTCAGCATTCCTGCTTTGTCTGTCACGCATCTGCCCCTCAGCCTAACCTCAGAAAAGAATCAACACTAACCTGCCCTTTACTAAGGCATTTTACATTGTGTCAGTATGTTCCCCTGTCCCAAAACTCTTCCATCCTATTTTATGGAATTCTAGATTACTTTCAGCAAATGTGAGATGTGCTTGAGGAAGAGACTACTTCCTTAGGATTTTTAAACCTACTTTCAAATTCAATTTGCGATTCTCCTTCTTCCAACTTTTCTCTCAAACACAAAAAATCTATGCCTACATGAAACCTGCCACAAATTTGTGTTTCAGAGAACGCACCTCTTCTCGTTTAGGCCAATGCCTAGCTGCAGAGCCTATCAAGGAATTATAATTATTTCTTTTCCTATAGACTTTGGGAGATTCCAGACATATAAAGCTTGAACCATAATTCAGAAATGATAACAAAAATAGTTTTCCAAGGTAACCTCACTAGGAGCCTGGCTAGCATTGTGCGTCATGCATTGACCTACTTACTGAAAGATAAGCAGTTTGAATCCACCAGCTGCTCCATGTGAGAAATATAAGATGTACTATTCCTGTGAAGGTTGATAGTCTTGGGCAGGCACGCTTTTTCCTTTACGAGTGAAGGTTATTGAGAGTTTTGTCATACCTCCCAGACTTCACTGTGTGTGTAAAGAGTGTTCAGTCACTTAAACTTTTAATCAACGATTCACATAGTTGGTCTAAAACATTAACCTATGCACGTTAATTTCCCTTTCTCAACAATTTTCTAAATTCTATACTACTGGCTAAACTCCTGATACTATCAGTAGAATATTCTTATGACCCATGGGATGATTTATAATGTTCTCCAATAAAATGAGAATGCTATCAATAAAGTGAACCAGAGATATAAATAAACCATAGATATATATGAAGAGACTTTGGGCTCACACTTAATCCAATCCCCAATTTAAGAACAAGCCCTAATTTAAGAACATGGCCCTACTCCATGTCCACCTTCATGAAAAGGTCAATGAAGATATGGGTGTTATAGTAATACGTGGTGAAGAAATAAGATGGTGCTCAGCTATCAGAAATAATGGCATCTGGGGCCAAAAGGTTTGCCTTAAAATGAACAGCCAACTAAGTTAGGTGTCAACTAAGTCCACATGGAAACAAACCAGCTTGTGTGATCCATGGATTATAAATAATAAAATCCAAATTTTGAGGATGAAACACTATCAGAGCCTATATTCTGAACATCCAGTTTGCAGAAGGCTATGGATGACAGTGGTAGCCCAAAATCCATTTGCAAGGTCCCCACTAGAATTAAACCTCTGATGATAGTGCAGAGATGTGAATAGCCTTGCTATCAGATGGAGAGCATTATAAAGTAAATTGTGACTAACGCAATTAGGTTAGTATCCAACACCTTATCATTTGATCTCCCTTGTGACCCATTTTAAATTTGTTCAAATTTTTAATATTTTATGCTTTCTTTTCCATTGAGATTTTTCTTTGCCTTATTTTGTCATTTTTGTTGGGTTTTTTGTGTGTGTGTCTCTTGGTTTTGTTTTTTGGGGTTTTTTTTTCTGTATATGAAATCCAGGATACATAAATCTAGAATGGCAGGAGACTGATTAATAATTCTCTAGGGACATGACAGGGAGGTTGGGAGGAAATGGGAGCTAACAGCAATGAGTACAAAAAAGAAGAAAATGTTCTGAAATTGGTTGTGGTGATGATTACACAATTCTTCTTAATATGACTTCCCAATTAAGTTGTATGATATATGAATGACATTCTAATTAAAATTAATAAATAATAACAAAAGAATGCATACACGCACACAAGATTTATAGTCTTGAAAACCCTCTGTCCCACAGTATCACTATGTTCTACCCTGTCCTATAAGGTCACCGTGAGTTGAAATTCATTTGATGAGAGTGAGTTGTTTTTATTTTTAGGGTAGCCTAAAATGAAGTACCTCCGGCTCCTGCTCTAGTTAGGGCTCCTTTCTCTCTGGCTCAGCCAGTGTCCAGGCAGAGCTTGGCAAGGGAGAACAATGCGCTGAAGCCAAGGTAGAGCCCACTCCTCAGGACGCATCCATGAATAGCAGCATCTAATCACAACTTTACAAGAGCCAGTCCTACCCTCCCATCCTGCTGCCTAGTCCAACGACCACAAGTTTCTGTCCACTCGACGAGTTTAATCATGCCATTGGCAGAGACAGTGATGGTGGCTCTATTTTATGTTTATATGAATAGAAACTGGGAGGCAACTAAATTGCAGAAAACCTATACTACGTTGAAAGGATATTATCAGCTAAGTAGACAAGCTCTGGTTAAAGTAAAATCTTCTTGTCTTCAGAACTGGAAGATGAAGGTAGAAGGTGTATGTAGTGTGGACTTGAAGCTTAACTGTCAGCGATGAAAATATTCAACGCTCTAAGTCTTAGAGCCATTTAGGGATGTGCTGCCCAGAGGGTCCCATCTCAAATTCAAGCATTCGTTGAACCATCTTCTTCATGCCAGACTGTCTTCAGGCACGACTGCAGTGGCCCCTGGGGTGAAAGCACGCCTCCAGGAGCAGAGCTTTGTGTGAAGAACCTGGTAGAGAGCACAATGGCGAAGGAAAACCTGGAAGATGATTAGGTCATTGGGTTGCCTTCCAGAAGAAAAGCCCACTGTGTATTTACTATGTAAGATCACAGATCAATTTAAACTTGGGATCGCTTAATAAAGAGAAAGGTGATAAATCCTCTTCTCACAGAAGTAGCCCAAGTAGGTGCTGTAAAAGTGGAGAATGCCTTGCTTCCCATTAACACTGAGTGAACTGAACTTCTGTGCCTGTCACACGCTCAGCTATATCTGTAAGTTGATAATGGCCTTCCATCCAAAGTAGAGTCAGCCAAGCAGTCAGAGGAAAGCATTAGGAGCCTTGGCTGCAAATAAGCAGACTGTATTTCTGTTGAACCAAGGTAACGAAAGCTTGACATCAAACAAACGCCCATCGAGAAGTGCTAACTGCTTGTGTAAGACATCTGCAACATCTCAAGTGAAGGCCTCGGTTGCTGAAGTAATCTGCCGGCTTTTAGCCCGTGATTTGCTGTTTGTTTTACAAGTGCATTAACAAGGTTAAGCTAAGAGATCATTTGGCAGAAGCTTTACAGTATTGCACATGAATACAAATAACAAAATAAAAAACATCAAGATGCCAGATTTGGGGCAAGGGATGCAAGGTTGAAGTGTAATTGAAGCGTCCTGGGTATTAACGGGGGCACACAAAGCCCAGATTAACAAGTGTGCTCTGATGATAGGCAGAGCTGTGTGCTTCACTGGAGTCGGGCCAGACTGTGATGCATTGGCCCCCCAAGAAGCTATCTCACTATGTCTTGCCTCTAACTCAGACAGAGGATACGCTATTTAATCCTTCTTTGCTTTCAAACAGCCAGACCCAGTGAGCATATAGCTTTCCTGCTTCTGGGGGTGGGGGTGGGGGGTGGGGGGAAAGGCCCAGGTAATAGAGAAATCCAATGTATAATTTGCTTGCCAGCTCATAAAATTTCCAGGTATTAAGGAAACAGTAATCTACGAGGATTTCCTAGTGGTTTTCCCTAGAGGTGACACACTTGAAAGGAAAGAGGGTGGGAGGGAGGGAAAGGAAGCAATATTGAGTACACACATACTGAAGCATACCGGGGTAGATGATACACAGAGCTGAGCAGGTGGTTTCCATTTTGATTCTTGTATAGCAAGAATCGTCCACAGCTTGTCTTTCACTGAGGATATCAAAACTACCTGTCTCACTGTAAAGCATGTTATTTTGAGATCTGAGATACCAAAAACGTAGGTTATAAGGCTGAAATGAATTAATAGGATGATAGTTACTTAGCTGAGCATTAGTCAGGCTCTTAGAGTCTTGGACAAAAGGAGCCTGTCCAGTTGCCCCGTAGGATAAAAAGCCTGCTGATCGGCTTCCATAAAGATTCTAGGTGAGGACATTGTACAGGGCAGTTCTACTCTGTCATAGTGGGTCACCCTGTCTCAGAGTCGACTTGACAGCAATGACAATGTTCAAGGCACCCATTGGCTCTCCAAAGGTGACAGAAAACCCAGAGTGCATAAGACGGGTCCACTGAGAACACAGCGAGGTCACCAAGCTGAGGGGCGATGGTTTGGAGGCGTTGCTGCTGCAGGAAACATAAAATAGGGATCTAATGCCAACAGTCCGAAACCACTGACTGACTTCCGGGCCTTTCATTTGTAGATGGAATTGGGTACCTTGATTTTTGAAAATGTTGCCTGTTTGATGTATGACAGCCTGGACTGGAAACGCCAGCACCAGCACTATTTGGAAAGTATGCAGCTGATCCACGTGCCACAAGTGGTTCAAGAGAAACCTGTCCTAGAACCCTTACTGATTTCCGAGGTAGGCTCGCTATGTGGGTGCCTTTGCTAGGCTGAATGATAAACGAACAACCTCATTTTCACTTGCATGAAATAGATGAAGAAAAATAAGGGCATCAGTAGTAGCGATGAGGTCATAATGCCTGCTGGTGTTGAATATATGAGTGTGTGAAAGAGAACTAGACCCCCTGGAACTGTGAAAAGAGGGTGACTTTTGTGGTGAGGGCTTGATGCCACCCCCAGAATGGATGACAGAATCCACTTTTCAGTCTATGGGTCACTGAATAAATCACATATGGAGCAAGGGTGGGGGGAGAGTTGATAATTCAATGACAACAGCTCTATGTATTGATCTAGTTGGTCAGTATTTATTGAGCAGCTACTATATGGTAACAAAGGAACTCTCATAGTTCACCCCCCCCCCAGCACTCTGCATAAGAAAGATGTGCAACCTGCGTTTGCGAAGATGTGTAGCGCTGGGAACCCCGTGGGCCTGTTCTGCTCTAGCTTATAAAGTCACAGTGAGTCAGAATGGACGTAACAGGTAATGGGTGTGATGTCATGGAGCACCCAGGTGGTGCAAATGGTTTAAACTCTCAGAAAAAAGGCCTGGCACTCTACTTCATAAAAATCAACCATTGTGGGTGAGTGGGGGGCACCTTACCTGATCTAGGAGGGCTAAAATGGAGAAGTCAGGAACATCTTACCCGAGAAAGGTGTCAGAATCATATTCTCAGAAGCGGGACAAAGATATACGATGGTGGGTGAAAGGAAAGAAGTATTGTGAGCCGTGCCAGGCCCCTGCTTCGGGGTTGCTAGGTAACAAGCAGAATCAGTAACTAACACTGCCAAGGCGGGGCCTCTATGAACAACCTGTGTGTGCAGCTAAAACCTTTGAGCTTTATACTGAAGACATTTGGGCACCATTGAAGGGCTGTGTAAAGGGGAGAGTGGCAGGGTTCTAGGACACCCAGAGAAGAAAAATGACCTGGCTCTTGGTACCCCACCCCCGCATCACGTGTCCTGCAATCATCCAATGACCTTTCCATTTCTATCATCTTTTTTCGTTCCTCCGACAAAGTCCCTTTTCTTTGATCTTGACACTGACAGATGATTCCCCTAGTGGGAACATAATTGTATAATGTCAGAATTCTGTTGGATGTGTTTACACCCGCCTTTGAAAGCATCTCTCAGCTGGATGTCTCCGTTTTTACTTTTCAAGTGTTCTGCTTTCAGGCTTCACAACCTGTTGCCCCAGCAGCTGGAAAGAAGAAAGCGCAAGGTGAAGAATCACAAGCTCCACCACCAGGCATGTATGCAACCTGTTACTGGACGATCAACACCACGGGCTAATGCTTTCAGGAAGGATAAACGCTTCTGATATTGTGTTCAGACCTACAGTTTTGCCATTTACTACTGCCTGGTCATAGTTTGAACTTGTGAGTGAAATGTTAGTGGACGAAATGACGAGCATATGTTCACGGAACAATGGTATTTTCTGTATTTACAGTGACTTTTGTCATCAAAACTGATGTAGACATGAGATATTACAATGATCTACTGAATCCAATCCCAGAGGAATTCATTTCCGTGCCTCTGATAATACATTGTATGCTAGAACAGGTGAGTGGTGGGTATGCTGAGCTTTTAATTAGATTGGTAAGAAAGTCACTTCACCTCTTTCAACTTCGAAGTTTTTAAGAAGAATTTTATAGTGTCCGGAGTATGAAAGGTTTGTCTTAAAATAAACAGCCATCCAAGTGAGGCGTCAGCTAAGTCCACAGGGGAGCATACCGGCCAGTGTGTGTTAGCCTGGGTAGACTAGAGAAACACATTCATGGAGACTCATATGTGTATGAGAAAGAGGTTTATATACAAGAGCAGTTGAACATTGCGAAAGCAACCCAGCCCAGTTCAGATCAAGTCCATAAGTCCTATATTAGCCCATACATCCGATACCAATCTATAAAGGCCTCCTCAGACTCATGAAACATGCGATGATGCCAAATACAGGATGACCACAGGCCAGTGGGTAGAAAGTCTATGGATCCAGTGGTGTTGTAAGCTTCTCAGTGCTGGCAGGAGTCTCCAAGTGGCTCCTCCTGTTCCCAGGGCATGGGGTCTATCAGCATAGTGCCATGTCTTGTCAGTAGAGTGGCTCCAAGGGAGTGAGCAGAGCGAGAGATAGTGTCTTCCGCCTCCAAGAAGGAATACAGGATTTCCCAGAGTTCTCAGGAGAAGGCCATCCCACACAGAGGTCTCTTTGACTATGATCCAATTGACAGACTAGACGCCACCCCTTCACTCGTAATGTTCTCAAATTGACACCAGATTATGTAACTGCCCCCACAGTGTGATCCAAGGATTGTAAATAATACAATCCAAGATAGTAGGAAGGAATGGTTTTAGAGCTTACATTCTATGCACCTGGTTTGTAGAAGGCTTTGGATGACAATGAAAGCCTAAAATCCATTTGCAGAGTTAGCCTCCATTGCATTCCCTCCAACCATTCATGAGAGATAAGACTAGTTTTGCCCTCAGACAGAGTGCACGGGTAAGTAGACTACTGCAGCTATAGTTAGGTTAAAATTGAACATAGTAGCATTTGCTTTCTCTGTTGATCCATTTTTAATTTGTTCTAGTTTCTATTCTCTTCTGCTTTCACTTGGACTGAGGTTTTCCAGTGTTTTATTTTGTTGTCATTGGGTGTTGCTTTTCCTTGTCTTGTATTTTTTCTTTATATGAAATCCAGGGCTTTCTCTGCTTCACCTTCCTGCTGACAAGCCACGTGGAGCCACGCGTGAGTCTGGAGAGGAATTTATGGACTAGCATGTGACTTAGGGGTTAATATGGGACTTATGGACATGATCTGGACTGGGCTGGGATGTTTTATTGATATACAATTACTCTTTGATATAAAGCTCTTTCTTATACATAGCTGAGGGTCCTTGGATTTCTTTCTGTACTCAACCTGGCCTAACACAAGGGGTTAGAGCTGCCACATCTCAGGTCCTAGTTGAGGACTTTACCTTTCGTACTACCTGGACCCAGAAGTACATCAATAATTTGCCACATAATAAATGACAGGTATAAAATTTTTTTAAAAAATGAAATCCAGGAGAGGTGACTTGATAGAGACAGTAACTAGATTAAGTCCTTTGTGCTCTGGAAAAGGAGGTTGTGGGTAATGGAGAGCTGATAATAATGGATAGAAGAATGAAGAAATTGTTTTATAATTAATTGGGTGATGATTACACAACTTTTCAATATATTTAAAACATTAAGCTGTATATGAATTATATGTCAATGAAACTTTTTTAAATTATTGTAAATCACACGCACAATATCTGAATAGATTCTTCTTTTTCAAGACTAAAACATTCAAGCTAAATCTGAAGTTTGCTTTGATCAACTTCAATCCTTATTTTCTTTGCTATGCTCTGAAAGAGTTTATATAACATTCTCTGAACTTTTGCTAGAAGATATCCTCTATCTGGGAGTAGTGCTGGCTTACATGGGAGCGGAAGGGGAAGAGGGTGGTGATTAGATCTCATTGTTGCTGTTGGATGCCATCCAGTCAATTTCAATGTATGGCTCCTCGGCTGTGCAAAGAAGACTGTTCCCTAGGGTCTTCAAGGCTGTGATTGGAGACACAGACCCCGCGGCCTATCGTCTCAGATGCTCTGGGGTGGATTGGAAGCATCCATCTTTTGGTTAGCAATTGATTTCTTAACCATGTTGGCTACCCAGGGACTCTGATTAGATGGTCAACTCTCTTTGGAATTCCTTTTGTACCTAGAGATTTCATCAGGCTTATCTAATTTTCAGGGCAATTTTAGTCATTAATATTTTTCTTACAAATGCTCATTTTATTTAAGTAAACACCAGAACAACAAGTTCTTTATAATAGTCACATGTACAAATTCAAAAATTTCCTCTGCATCTTGTTATATTACATTTTTTTATGACATATGTTATTTACTTGTGCCTTCAACTTTCTTGACCATGGTTGCCAATGGCACATCTATTTTATTGTTGGTTTGTTTTTTGTTTGATTTTTCCACCAAATAGCCAGCATTTTATTTCAGTTATCAACTTTATTTTTATTTCATTAAAGTTTTCATTTATCTTTTACCATTTTCTTCATACTACTGTCTTTGGGCTTTTTGCATTTGGACGTCTATGTTAGTCAATGTAAAATTTACCTCGTTTATTTACTTTTTTTTTAACCTAATAAATGCACATATGGCTATAAATATCCTGTTGGGTATTACTTTGGCTACAGGCTAATGTGTGCTAAAGTTTCAGTGATGGTAAGGTTTGAGAAGGGTTTCCATGGAATTTCTTCCAATAATGGAAATTCAGAATATAATCCTAAGAACCAATTGAGGAGCTCAAATTGAGGACCCTTTTAAAATATAGTCTTCAAAAGTACCTGCCCTATGAAAGATGAAGAAGACTAAAGAACTATTCAAGAATAAAGGAGACTGAAGAACCGTGGCAGCTGAGGGCAATCAATGTGGAATCTTAGATGAGAATCTAGATTAGGAAAATTTTAATGTAGAAAATGACTGGTATTATTGACAGACTTAAATATAGATCCTAAACCAAATACTAGTATTTTATCAATGTTAGATTTCCTGATATCGATGATTGTATTTTATGGAAGAAAGTTTGTTTTTTCATTTTATGGGGATGTAAGAGGCAGTATTTGGGGGTTGAGAGTTATGATGATTATAACTTTTTCTCAAATGATCATCAATATTAATAATAATAACAGATAGAGAAAAGCTGATGTGGGGAAATGTTGACAGTGAGTGAGTCTAGTTGACGGGTAAGAAGTCCAAGTGGTGCAATGGTTAAGCACTCGGCTGTACACTGAAAAGTTGGTGGTTAAAACCCACCAGGTGCTCCATGAGAGAAAGATGTGGCAAGTCTGCTTCTGTAGAGATTGCAGATTGGAAATGCTGTGAGGCGGTTCTACTCGATGGCACAGGGTTACTACACACCAGAATTTACTGAACAATAATGGGTTAGTCGAGGGCAGACAAGTTTTCCTTGTACTATCACTCAATTTATCTATAGGTTATAACTTTCTGGCAAGCAAAGGGTATTAGAAATTTTGATTTGAGGATCCAACTAAGATTAGATATGATCATTATAAAAAGGGGCATAGAAAGCAGAAAGACCCAACTACAGGATGGATCATACATTAAGTTTATATCTACCTTAATGACTGGATAAAAAATATTTTCCCTTTCATTTAGGTAGTCACTGATACTTTTCTCACATTTTGTGTTATCACCAGTACTTGACTGGTGGAAACTGGCTCATTCTTACTAAGAGCAAGGGGCATATGTGGGTATAAGTAAAAGCTGACCTGCAAGCCCTTAAGCCAGGTCCTTCCAATCCCTCTCAACAGGTTGTGGCGACTGAAGAAGATCTTGTGCCCCCAAGCCTGGCAAAGTTGCTCCCCAGAGCAGACGGTTTAGACCACAGAATTGCAGCTCACATTGTGTCCATCCTGCCTTCTCTCTGTCTTTCAGAGAGGGAGAAAAAGGTCAGAGGGGCAGGAAATCTCCAAGGCTTTGCTGGTTGGGAAAAGAATGGATGCATTCTTTCTTTTTTCTTTTTTAAATCATTTTATTAGGGGCTCAGACAACTCTTATCACAAGCCATACACACATCAATTGTGTAAAGCGCATTTGTACATTCCTTGCCCTCATCATTCTCAAAACATTTTCTCTCCACTTAAATCCCCGGCATTAGGTCCTCATTTTCCCCCTCCCTCCCTGCTCCCCCCTCCCTCATGAGCCCTTGATAGTTTATATATTGTTATTTTGTCATATCTTGCCCTGTCCGACGTCTCCCTTCACCCACTTTTCTGTTGTCCGTCCCCCAGGGAGGAGGTTACATATAGTTCCTTATAACCGGTTCCCTCTTTCCTACCCACTGTCCCTCTACCCTCCCTGTTTCGCCACTCACACCAATGGATGCAATCTTACATGTGTTATCTTTTCACCTTAAATAGGATCTCCATGAGGTGTTCTTATCTGAAGAAGAAAATGAAAGCAAAGCTATGCCCAAAGGTCCTCTCCTACTAAACTACCATGATGCTCTAGCCCACAAGAAATATGCCCTCAAGGTAATGAGGTGACCTAAGAATGACTGATATAAGAAAGCACATTGGTAACTACTCAGCCTAACTAACGCTACTGAAAAGTGCTGCCCAAAATGGTGCCCGTTTGAAAAAGCGGGACCTCGGACAACAGGAAGATGCATAGGGGAGGAATTACATCTGCGTAGAAACGTACCATTTTAGAAGTCCAGTTAGCCATTAAACGAATTGTTACTACCACCAAAATTGCATTACCACTGCATAGTTATTTACTCTAAGCACTCAGAAAGCTAGTCTAGCCTGGAAAAGAATCCCCCAAATGAGAGATGAATGTAGATGAGGTCTTGGCAGTTTGTCGCTGACTGAAGAATCAGTCATTGTAGTGCCCCAGACACTTCTGGCAAAATGAGGACTAATTTTCTTGACCCTCAGCAAAATACCAGCAGTTTGTCTTTCCCAATTACCATTGCTTTCCCCTGTTCCCAAATAATGAGATTGGGGGTATCATGTTTAGCCTTATCCATATGCATAAGGCACTTGACCGCGTTCCTTAATGTCTTCTGTCATGTTGCTCTTTTTCATCAGGACCAGAAGAATTTTGACCCAGTTCAAATTGAGCAGGAGATGCAGTCCAAGTTGCCACTGTGGGAATTCCTTCAGTTCCCACTGCCCCCACCATGGAACAGCACCAAACGTCTAGCTACGATTCATGAGCTCATGCACTTTTGTACAAGCGGTGAGTATATTCCTCAGTCTTACACTACATTCATTGCTTAACATTGACATGCCCTTCACACCGTTGCACTTTTACTGGGAAAAAAATAAAACCACAAAAACGTACGGGTTTTTTTGAGGACTGGAAGACCTTTTAGAGGTTAAAGTGAGTGTTTGATTGACTACAAGCTTTCTTATCTGGAATAATGTCATTAATAATAATATAATAACTCTGGTGCATAAGATGCTCCTATTTTGCCTCACTGGGGTTTTCCTCCCTGTGGCACCACCGTCAGATTCATTTTCTTTCCTTCCCTCCCACCACATCTCCCCGTTGACATCAGTGGAGTTGACGTGGTCATCACCTTCCTAGTTAAGAGGATTAAAGACTCGTGTGTTTTAGAAATAAATAAACAAACAGCTTCCCATCCCCAAATACCACTATCTTTTCCCAGGGCAATGTCCTGCTTCCTTCCCTTGCTTCCAACCCACCTCTTGCTCATCATTGCAATGAAACAATAATTATAACAATGGTGCAAATACTTTCATCTGGAGTGGAAGAGCAAGGCCAACAGCACAACTCTGTCCCACTCAGAAAGAACTATCTTAATTCTCACCTTATATTCTGGTAAACTCCTAGTGTCATTTGTCAGAAGGCAACCCCACAGATGACAAAACAATAACAAGAACAGAAATGTCTGGAAGGGTACTCATTGTGCCCTTACTGCTTATCCAACCTGAGTCAATACAAGAGACATAACGTCAAAATAGAATAGGCTTATGTATTTTCCAGCTACCATCAAATCAGTTGTGACTCATAGCAACCCCATGCGTATCAGAGTGGAACTGTGTTCTGCAGAGTTTTCAAGATGGCCATATTTTTTGAGGCACTACTACATGGACTCAAACCACTAACCTTTCGTTTAGTAGTGGAGAAATGTACCTTTTGTACTACCCTGTATGTGTGTATATATTGTTGTTAGGTACCATTGAATCAGTTCTGACTCATAGCCATCCTCACAGTTGTTCTGAAATTTGAGCCCCACCCCAAAACAGTCATAGTCACTGTGTCAGTCCATCCTGTTGAGAGCTTTCCTCTTTTCTGCTGCCGCCTACTTTACCAATCACAATGTCCTTCTCCGTGGACGGGTCTCCCCTTCAACATGCCCTAAGCACATCGGCCAAAGTCTTGCCATCCTTTATTCTAAGCAGCATTCTGGCTTTACTTCATCCAAGACAGGTGTGCTGGTTCTTTTGGCAGTCCGTGGTATTTCAGTATTCTTCCCCAGCACCATAATTCAAATGCACTGATGCTGTTTTGGTCTTCATTATTCAATGTCCAAATTTCATATGCAATTCAAAACACTCTGGCTTGGGTCAGATGCATCTTAGTCCTCAAAGTAACATCTTTGATTTTCATCTTCAAAGGGGTCTTGCGTGGCAGATAACTCACTGAAACGCATCCTTTGGTTCTCCTAACTGCTGCTGCCAGGAGCATTGATCATAGACCCACGCATGGGAAAATCCGGACAACTTCAGTCTCTTCTACACTTATCATGATGTTACCGATTGGTCGAGTTGTGAGGATTTGGGTTTTCTTTACATTGCGTTCTAACGCACACTGAAGGCTACAATCCTTGATCTTTTTCAAAAGTGTTTCAAGTCCTCTTCCTTTGCAGGAAGCAAGATTGTATCATCTGCATACCACAGGTTGTTTGATAAGCCTTCCTTCGATCCTGATGCAGTATTCTTCATATAATTAACTTCCCTGATGATTTACTCAGGATGTAGATTAAATAAATATGATGAGAGGATAGAACTCTGATGCACACCTTTCCTGATTTTAAACCATGCAGTATTCCCTTGTTCTGTTTGCGCAATTGCTTCTTGATCCACATACAGTTTCCACAATAGCACAATTGAAGTACTCTGGAATTCTCATTTTTCTCAAAATTATTCACAGTTTGCTATGACCTGCTTGCCAAATGCCTTGGCATAGTCAATAAATCACAAGTAAACATCTTTCTGGTATTCTCTGCTTTGACCCAAGATTCATTTAACACCAGCAATGATATCCCTTGTTCCACATCGCTCTTCAGAATCGGGCCTAAACCTCTTCATGTAATATCGATGATATTGTTCTATAATTTGAACATTCCATTGGGTCTTTAGAATGGGTATAAATATGAATCTCTTCCACTCAATAGGCCAAGTAGCTGTCTTCTAAATTTCCTGGCATAGATGGATGAGTGCCTCTAGTGCTTCGTTTGCTTGTTGAAACATTTCCATGGGTATTCCATGAATTCCTGGAACCTTGGTTTTGACTACTGCTTTCAGTGCAGCTTAGACTTATGCTAATTGCTGAAACGGTGGCATGTCCACCAGTTTTTTTAGTACAGTGACTTTGTGTATTCTTTTTTATCTCCTTTTTAGGCTTGCTGCATCATTCAATATTTCTCCCATAGAATCTTTCAATATTGTAACTCAAGGCTTGAAATTTTTCTTGAATTCATTCAGTTTATGATAGGCTGAGCATGTTCTTCCATTTTGGTTTTCTAATTCTATGTTTTTGTACATTTCATCGTAATATTTTACTTTGTTTTTTCGAGCTGCCCTTTCAAATTTTCTATTCGGTTCTTTGACATCATCATTTTGTCCATTTATTTTTGCTATTCTATGATTAAGAATAAGTTTCAATGTTTTCTGACATCCCCTTTGATAGTTTCTTTCTTTTCTGTCTTTCAAATGATTTTTTGCTTTCATCTTGAATGTTTTTCCTGATGCCCTCCCATCACCAGCTCTCCTGCCATTAGTGTTCAGTGCAGCAAATTTGTTCTGGAAACTCAAGTAGACTAGACTCAAGGTTGTGTTTTGGCTCACATGGACTTGTTTAATTTTCTTCATCTTCAACCTGAACTTACATAGCAGCAATTGGTAGTCTATTCTATAGTCAGCCCTTGGTCTCATTTTACTTGCTAATATTAACTTTCTCCATTGTGTCTTCCTACAGATTGATTTTTGTGTATTCCATCTGGAGAAATCCATGTACATTGGGTTGTTGAAAAAAGACATTTGCTATGTCATTGGTCTTGCAACATTCTGCCATTCAATCTCCAGCTTCATTTCTAACATGAAGACCAGATGTTCCATCTACTGTTTCTCCCTACATCCTACTTTTGCATTCCAACTGCCAATAATTTTTAATGCATTTATATTGCATGTTTGATCAGTTTCAGACTGAAGACATTGGTAGAATTCTTTAATTTATTCATCACTAGCTTCAGTGGTTGGTGCATAAATTTGAAAAATAGTTGTATTGATTACATTTCCTTGAATTCACATTGATATAATCCTATCACAAACAGCATTGTACTTCAAGATTGATCATAAAATTTCCTTTTTGCCAATGAACGCAATGCCACTCCCCTTCTTGTGTCTTTCCCAGTTTAATTAACCATATGATTATCTGATTTTAAATGGCCAATAGCAGTCCAATTCAGCTCACTAACACATAGGATATCAACCTTTATAACTTTGTGATCCATTTCACTTTTGACAGCTTCCAGTTTTCCTATATTTACACTTCATACATTCCAATTTTTGATCATTAGTAGATTGTTTTGCCGCGCTTTCTTCTTGTGTTGAATGGTGCCCCATCAACACGTTAAGCTCCCGGAGATTTTATTCCCACAGGCTTTACTCCACTCACATCACTATGTGGACCTCACTTTGAGAAGACGCAGTTCCTCAGGCATGTTTTTAGTGTCTCCGACCTCGGGGGCTTGTCTTCTCGCACTATTTCCCACGTTGTTGTTTTTTTCTATTCATTAGGCCTGAAGTACCTGACAATGTTTCATGCTACACATAGGGTTTTCAGTTGTGACTACCTCAGAAGTGAACAACTTATTCCTTCTTCATAGTCTGTTCTTACTCTGGAAGCTCTCTTGAAACCTGTTTACTCTGGTGACATTTGAAATACCAGTGACATAGACTCCAGCATCACAGCAATGCACCAGCCAGCACAGTGTGACAAACTGAAATACAAGTGGTGATGTGTATAGACACCTAAAAAAAGAAAAAGTTTAAACCATTGTATTTCAGCGCAAAAGATAATTATTTTAAAGTCCTGTTTCATAGTTTAGGAAAGGCATGATAATATAAAATTACATTAATGTGCGATCTTGAAGAACAAAGAAGAAGAAGTTATAGTCCAACCTCTTAAAATGGAATATTTGTTTACCTCCACTGGTTATTACAATTTGGATCACCATTTTCCTTATGATTAGATCATGTGTCCAAATATGCTTACATTCTTATTTTTTCCTATACTCAACCAAATTGAAAACTAAATAAATACTGTAGCAACATATTGACTCAGTTATCTACTTATTTTCTTAAGGCCATGAAATCTAAGTTTGAAAAACTCTGCTCTCAGGCATGTTGCATTGACACCCAGCTAACAAGAATGTCATACAGAAACATGGTGTTCTAACTAGAAATGAGCTGCCTTTTCACAAGATGAGAGGTTAAATAGCCATTGGAGTCAGAGACTAATAAACAAGAAGGGTGGAGTGAGCTCTTTTTTCACAGTAATCTCTCTTTGATTGGTTTGATTTGTCCAAGGAGTTTGTCCACTCTCCTCATGTTTCCCTGCCTCCCAGATTCTGTTCTGAATTCTTCCTAAGTGAGGGAGACAAGAAAGAGAGTGGAAAGTACTCCTGGATGGATAACCCTATTCCCCACTAACTAATTAAACCACTGCCATGGAGTTTATTCTGGCTCATAGCTTTCCTGTACCACAGAGAAGACCTGTCTCATCTTTCTCCTGCAGAGCATTTGGTGTGTTTGAACCACTGACCTTACAGTTAGCAGCCCACCACGTAACCCAACCCCACCAACAGGAATTATTCCACCCTCAACTACATCCTTTGCATTCTTTATTAAGGAAATGCTATATGAAGGAATTGTCCCTCTGTCTTATCCTTGCCCTCTTTCCATAGTCTCTAATTTTTCTAATCAGAG